TGCTACTCATAAGTTTTTCTTTTCTTGTAAAGTTGTCATGGCAATATTAGAGAGAGAGAGAGAGAGAGACTCATACAACCCCCTTGTGCATTGTATTTTATTTTTTTTTGGCGAATATTATTTTATTTCAGCTATAAAATTTTTAATTAATCATTCTATATTTCTATTTAATTGCTACAACTTTTATTGATATACAACCCATTTAAAGCAATCAATTCGTTCTCTGTATATGCTGTACGCACGGGTGACTGGTGCATCACCTGTCAATCAAAATCCCATGACGCTAGGTGACCTTGAAAGGCTTTATTTGAAGAATTTCTCTTACCCACACTGAAACAATTTAATTTTCAGTATAGCAAAGGTCACACCTGTTTGAAAAATATATTTGGTCTCTGCCGGTGGGGCCTACCACTTGTTTGCCTGTTTTCACACCTTTCAAATTCTTTAAACATTCCATGACAGCAAGTGTATAACACACTCAACCGATATCACGCAATCATCTTCCAGGTTTCACTACAACAACGATTATAAACTTACATTTACTTTGTTAATTTATTTATCCTGTGTCATCACAAATAAGCACGTATCCCGTAGGTTAAGATTTTAAAAAACATATTAACATAAATTTACGACTTCATAAATTTTAACCAGCTGTATATTGCTTATTAAAATGCATTTATTTTGTTCATTAAATATTTTGACTGTAGATGCAAAAATCGATCTCTCGAAGTTCTCAATCTCTCAATAATTTCAAAGCGTATTTCTCTATATAACCAGCAAATTTATTTTCATAGATCTCTTGTTCTATATCTCTGTTTTTAAAATCCTTTCAGTGTAAGTATTTATTTTAAAAAGATTTTACTCTCTATCTCTCGAAGTTTTGATTACACGTATATACACGTATAAAAAAAATACCAGAGAGAGAGAGAGAGAGAGAGAATGCCTGGGGCTGGCATGGAGGTGTCAATTTTGTTTACATAGATGACACTACATCTTATTTCGTCCGTGTGTTGATATAAGAATTAATTGGTTATTATTGGTAAATTATAATTGAATTCACTTTTTTGACTTGAAACCGAGACAATTTTTAGAAATCAAATTTATAGTGTTCATTTTAATAAGTTCCCATAGACTATGAACTCTTATTAGAGCTCTACATAATCCCAGTATGACAAATATTACACAAGAAATTCCTTTCTCAAGGAATGAAACCGATTAAGAAAAATTTGGTTAACACTGCTTGAACACTATATTTGGACCCGATGAAGCCGCGGAATAGCCAAACCGACAATTGCTATTCGGGTTTCATGTTATCATGAAATAAGAACAAATAAATATTGACAACTTCAGGAATTCGTTTTATTTATTCTAAATAGGATCATTGTTGTTTATATCAAGTATATTACTAAAATGCGATTGAAAACATGCATTTAGCTTTATTTACATATACTTCCGGTATCTATAGTACACAACATTGCTGATCGGAACTGTAGGTTAAGATTTTATTTAAAACATATTCGAACATAAATTCTCGAACTTTTCTGATAAAGTCCCTTAACTTCAGAGATGAGAGTCACCTGTATATGTTTTCTAAACTGTTTTTTTTCTTTTCATTTTTCACACGATATATTTCAAAATGAAGTAATCATGGTAATATTCGCACTGAAGTTAGTACATTTCATTTGCCAAAAATTCAGCTGGTGATTTTTGTATTCAGCGTGTTTACAGGTTGATCACTATTTCAATTAATGAAATTTATCAGATTATTATCTCTGCCTGTTTAGTAGATTTTCGAGTTTACTGCATTTAATATTTATCTCCATATTTTACATAATAACAGATTTTCAGTGTTAGTCTTACTGCAATAATCCTTATCTGAACCAATGATTCGCCGAGTATTGGTACCGGTATCAGAGAGCAGAATTTAATGTGCAAATCTGATATAAGAATTAATTGGTTATTATTGGTAAATTATAAACGTAGTTTTTTAAAATATTTTATTCTAGACACAGTACATATATATATTTTTAAATTCTTACAAAATAATTAATTCACTTACTAGTATAATCATGCATCTGATATGTACTGCGTATGAATGCATGCATAGGGAAAAACGAACTTCTATCAACAATTTAATTGAACACGGTTAAAATCAAAATCGAAAGTGGAGACAATCGAGTAATTCATTTATAAAAGTGCGTTTCTTCTTAGTGTAATAATAGTCTATTGAACTTTTTATGACCAATATAATTAGGATTTAACTTGAAACGTGATTGTACTTTTTTTTTTTTTGCTGGAACGAGGATATACGTTTTATTTATTCCCCAAACGAAGTTGGGGAACATTGTTGTTTATATCAAGTATATTATTAAGGTCTTCCGAAAACATGCGGAAGACCTTTTGTTATTCATAGGTTTCTTTTCCACTATTTTTATTATTATTATTATTATTATTATTGTTTTTTTTTCTTACCGATTTTGTGTACAAGATTTCTCGGAAACGGCTCGTTCGATTTTCATGAAACTTTCAGGACTGATAGAACATCAAACAAACCTGATATATAATTTTTTGTTTTGATGTCGTCACTTCCGGTTTTGAGATTTCAGCGATTTAGTGATTTTCAGGGGGTATCATTGTCCATCATTTTTCTCACTGCCTTAAGACAGAAACATGAGATTTTCAGCAATGATAGAGCAACGTGTGCTCTTTTGTCACACACCACTCTTTTTCTCCAAGTGCCGCATCGGCTATTTCAATTAATGAAATTTATCAGAATTAGAAATTTTTGACACCTTTTCTGCAATATCTTTTTACATGTTAACATTTTGTAAAGACATATAGAACAAAAATTTTCAGTGTTACAATCTTTCTGCAATATATCAACAATAAGGGGCTGGCCCCTATAATAAAGGGCTGAAAGGGGCCGAAAGTTTTTCCTTTATAGCTCAAAAAGTATTACGAATTTGTAATACGTCAAAGAAGCAAAGTTGTTAAAAATGTCAAGCTTTATCTAATTACTAGTATAATTCGTGCATCGACGTCACTTCCGGTTAAACCGGGCAGTAGTTAAAAATTGCTTATTTTTGCCGTTCTTGACAGGTTTTGGGGTAACATATGTCACTGGAAGCTTAAATCTTAATTTTCCGTATAAAAGTCACTTCCGTGTAATAATAGTCTAAAATGGCTTTTTATTGCATTAATTAATATAGATTTAGGATTAAACCATTTTTGAACTTTTACTTTTTTTTTTTAAAAAAAGAAAGTTACAGATGCACTTCCGGTCAAACGAAGTTGGGGAACATATTCGTTGCTTTGCAACGAGCTGTTTCTTATTATTATTATTTTTCTTCTTCCTGGGAAAATTTTGTCCACGAGTGATCTTGTAAACTACACATCCGACTAAGGTAAAATGTTTTTAGGGTCAGTAGACATGTTATGTAGATTTGCCGAACGAAGGTCATTTTGCGCGCACGTGCTTGCAAGAGCGTGCACGTGCAACACATGAAATGACCAATATAATGGATATTGCTGTAACTTTTCTTTTTTTTGATGAATTTTTTTGAAACTCATAATGTAAGGATATATTAGTAGTATAGACAAGATGGCATGGTCAAAATAGCAAGATCTCACGCGCATGCATGTGCGCTTTGCTCTGATTGGCTGAAACTAAAGTCTCAATATCTTTCTTGTTTTTTGATAAAATCATTTGAAATTTTGAATATAGTCATACATTAATGAGATCTATAGCCTGATATAAAAGAATTATCATAAAAGAATGTGCATGCACGTGTGCTTGCAAGAGCACGCACGTGCAACACCAGAAATGTCCAATGTAATTGATATAGATGTAACTATTTAAATTTTTTATGAAATGTTTTGAAACTTATAATATAAGGATATATTAGAAGCATAGACTAGATGACATGGTCAAAATAGCAAGATCGCATGCACATGCGCTTCGCCCTGATTGGCTGAAACTAAAGTCTCAATATCTTTCTTGTTTTTCGACAAAATTCTTTAAAATTTTGAACATGGTTATACATTATAAAGATCTACAGCTTGGTATATAAGAATCATCATGAAAATGATGCGCATGCACGTGTGCTGCAATCTGATTGGCTGAAAATTTAAATGTCTATACCCTTCTTAGTTTTCAACCAAACGGGATAACATTTAGAATATGAATAGGTATAATGGATTCCTACATAATGGTACTATCAAAATTGAATGCACGAACATTCATTCATGCACACATGCCCGCGTAATACGCAAAATGGCCAATATTTTAAAAAAAACATTAAAATATATTGTAAAGAATTTTTTTATTTATTCTCACGATATATAGATATGTTAATTGTTTAGACAACATGCTATAATCATCTTGCATGTACATGCGCGTGCATGCGCGTTCAATGCGTTAAATGACATATAGTTGATATCATTGTACCTTTTGTAATCTTTGATTAAATCCTTCGATACTGGTAATATTTTTTAAAGTGTCTTACAGGAAGTAGGCACAAAAAGGGATTTTGGGAGCGTTTGGGGAACATCTGTAACGGTCCCCGTTACAATTAGCACTAGTTAAATTTTAAGGCATCTTATTAGTTTAAACATCTGTATGCAATAAATTACCAATATTAATTTATAGAAAAGTACAACAAATATTTCAAAAGAAAGTTGATTTAATTTTATTAAATAAGGGCAATGAGAATGTTTAAAATATTTATCATCAGAACTGTGACACACCATGCTACACGGTGCACAGAAACGCTGACTTCAAAGATGCTGATATTGGTTCGAGGTCCTTTCTAAAGCGTGGACTTGCGGTCCACGGGGCCCCATGTTTTTTTAGGAAAACTCGTGGCCTGTACTGTATGATTTGAATACTTAACTGATTTTAAATATGTGAAGCAAATGAAATCAATTTATTATAAAATTCAATCTAATGTAAGAATGAGCATATATTTATTTTTCTTTTTGTTCTTTTTTTTTTCTCTCAGGCCAAGGAGCGGGAGATAGAATTGAAGAATGAATGGTCTCAAAACAGACTGACAAGAAAACAGACTCAAGCCAAGTATGGATTTTGAGGAGAAAATATTGGGAATCATCAGTTTCTTTCCTGTTCTAATGTGTAGAAATGTATTTGTTTAGAAACTATATTTGATGACATTCATGCACAGTGAAACTCATCTTATAAGAAGAAAAGCTGGCCAGTTGAGACAATATTTCCTTTGGACAAAATTTTAAACAAATAATTTTACCATAAAAAGATGAGTGTACTTGTAATAACATCAATTAAAATCATAAATATTATGTTGCTATAGCCTTTCATACTAAAATATAAAAAAATCTTATTTCATCTCTGAAACTTCAAATTTCTGGATACATTTGATCGACACATTCTTGCATTTTCACCAATGCTATACCCCCGGCGTCGGTGTCGGCGTCGGCATTAGCGTCAGCGTCCCAGGTTAAAGTTTTAGGAGCAAGTCCATTCCTAAGTAACTATAAGCCCTACCTGATCCAAACTTGCATGGATGATGCATCCAGGGATGTACACTACCAGACTTGCTTCGGATGCTGGATCTGACCTACATTTTCTAGATGAGTGACCAGGTTAAAGTTTTTGGAGCACGTCCATTCCCAAGTAACTATAAGATCTACCCAGACCAAACTTGTATGGATGATGCATCTAGGGTTGGACACTACCAGACTTGCTTCGGATGCTGGATCTGACCTACATTTTCCAGATGAGTGACCAGGTTAAAGTTTTTGGAGCAGGTCCATTCCCAAGGAACTATAAGCCCTTCCCTGACCAAAATTGCATGGATGATGCATCTGGGGATGGACACTACCAGACTTGTTTCGGATGCTGGATGTGACCTACATTTTCCATTTGAGTGACCTGGTTAAAATTTTTGGAGCAGGTCCATTCCCAAGGAACTATAAGCCCTACCCAGACCAAACTTGCATGGATGATGCATCTAGGGATGGACACTACAAGTCTTGCTTCGGATGCTGGATGTGACCTACATTTTCATTCCCAAGTAACTATAAGCCCTACCTGAACCAAACTTGCATGGATGATGCATCTAGGGATGGACACTACCAGACTTGCTTCGGATGCTGGATGTGACCTACATTTTCATTCCCTAGTAACTATAAGACCTATCCGAACCAAACTTGCATGGATGATGCATGTAGGGATGGACACTACCAGACTTGCTTCAGATGCTGGATCTGACCTACATATTCATTCCCAAGTAGCTGTAAGACCTACCTGAACTAAACTTGCATGGATGATGCATCTAGGGATGGACACTACAAGACTTGCTTCGGATGGTGGATCTGACCTACATATTCATTCCCAAGTAACTATAAGATCTACCCGAACTAAACTTGCATGGATGATGCATCTAGGGATGGACCTACAAGACTTGCTTCGGATGCTGGATCTGACCTACATTTTCATTCCCAAGTAGCTATAAGACCTACCTGAACCAAACTTGCATGGATGATGCATCTAGGGATGGACACTATCAGACTTGCTTTGGATGCTGAATCTGACCTATATTTTCCATACAAGAGACCAGGTTAAAGTTTTGGGAACAGATTAATCCCAATGAACTTGAAGTCCTTGATATCTGCAGTATTAACAAATTTATGAATATTTGTTTACACTATACATGTTTTTCATGCTATGTGCATAGAAATGTGTATATGCCATGTAAGGGGTTAAACACAACTTGCAAGAATATTGTTGTTGGGATAAATACTAGGCATTAAGAAAATATGTGAGATTTGCATTACTTACACTGACAACATTCGTCGAGGTGAGCTTCGTAATCTTTGATTATCTATGTTAATTAAATTCTTAATATTTAAGAAAATTGACAAATTTGTTGTGTATTAATGAAAAATATTCAAACTATAATCCAAACAAGAGGCCCAAGGGCCTTGAATCGCTCTTCTGATAAATTATACAATCTATCCTAAGACCCAAGATGCATCAACTGACAAAGTTTGATGATTCTTAGCCAGTTAGGGCTGAAGATATTTAAATGTAACTATAAAATACTATAAGTAGGTCATGGTGACCTACTTTTTGATTGAAATTTTCTGAAAACACAAGATGCATTAATCGACAAAGATTGATGATTCTAAGTCCTACTTGAGATATTCAAAAGTGGGTCACAGTGACCTACTTATTGGTCAACATTCTTTGAAAACCTAAGGTGAATAAACTGACAAAGTTTGACAGTTCTAAGCCAATAAGTACCCTAGAATACTTAAATATAGCCATAAATGTCACAAGTAGGTCACTGTGACCTATATTTTGATCATTATTCTCCGAGAACCCAAGATGCATCAAATAACAAAGTTTGATGATTTTAAACCAATAAGTACCAGAATACTTAAATATAACCATAAAATGACAAAAGTAGGTCACTGTGACCTACTTTTTGGTCGACATTCTCCGAAAACCTAAGATGCATCTACTGACAAAGTTTGATGATTCTAAGCCAATCAGTACCTGAGATATTCAAAAGTGGGTCACCGTGACCTACTTTTTGGTCCACATGCTCTGAAAACCCAAGATGCATCAAATGACAAAATTTGATGATTCTAAACCAACAAGTACCTGAGATACATAAAACTAGCCATAAAATGTCAAAAATAGGTCACTGTGACCTACTTTTTGGTTGACATGTTTCGAAAACTAAAGATGCATCGAATGACAAAGTTTGATGATTCTAAGCCAATAAGTACCTGAGATATAAAAATATAGCCATAAAATGTCAGAAGTAGGACACTGTGACCTACTTTTTGGTCGTTAATCTCCGAAAACCCAAGATGCACCAACTGACAAATTTAATGATTCTAAGCCAATTAATACCTGAGATACTTAAATCTAGCCATAAAATGTCGAAAGTAGGTCAAAGTGACCTACTTTTTGGTTGACATTTTCTGAAGACCAAAGATGCATCAACTGACAAAATTTGATGATCATAGGTCTAATAGCATTCAAAATATGCCTTTTAAACAATTTGAAAACAAATGCCTGCAAAGTTCAAAAAGTAGGTCACAGTGACCTACTTTTTGATAAATATGTTTTAAGGCCTCTAGATGCATTAACTTACAAGATTTGGTGATTCTAAACCTCTCAGTGTCTGAAATAATGGGATTAAATGTTTAAGAAAATATTAGCCATAAAATTCAAAAAGTAGGTCACGTTGGCCTACTTTTAAGTTGATGTTGTTTGTGGACCAAAGATACACCAACTGACAAAGTGTTATGATCATAGGCTTTAAAGTGTCCAAAATATGCCTCCAAATCAAGTTGAAAACAAAAGCCCATAAAATTTAAAAAGTAGGTCACCGTGATCTACTTTTGTATTAACATGATGTCAAGTCCTGAGATGCATCAACTTACAAGATTTGATGATCCTAGTCTTTATAGTAAGCAAAATATCAACATTTTTAATAAGTGTAAATTTTGGTCAACTTTGAAGTGACCTTGAGACCACGCCCTTTGCCCCAGGGTCATGCCTTGAACAATTTTTAATCTTCAACATATCCTGACCCTTGTATGTAAGTTTGGTGAAAATCTGCCTGGTGGTTCTTGAGAAGAAGATTTTTTAGCAACCAGTACTTTTGGTTTTATTTTCGTGATTATCTCCCCTTGTTTTAGGGTCCCACCCCTAATTTTAGTATAAATGGTAGCCCTTGGGCCAAGGATACCCTGTGACAAATTTGACAATAATTGGCTAAGGGGTTCTTGAGTTATGGCCCATATTCTGAAAAGTTAACGCACACCGCACAAATGGCCATAGCATTAGCTCTTTGAGCCTTTGGCTCAGAAGAGCTAAAAATTCAGAGTATAAATGTAAGAAAGCAAAACCCACTCATAGTCTTGTCAGTCCATGCTCATATATCATTGTGCAGAGTTTAACAATTGAACACATCCGGTGAATCCTAAACAATTACAATAACATAGCCCATGCCCTGTCTACAAAAACAGTTCATGTTTCATGGATGTATTCAATTTCTTAAACTCTGTTCACAACACTGAGATCGGGCTGACAATACATGTACTAATGAGTGGGTTTTGCTTTCAAATATTTCTACTCAGAATTTTCTGAGATGTACAGTGTAATACTGTAAACCAACCTTTAATTGCGACAACTTTATTTCACAATTTACTGTGGGTAAACTAGTTCGCGCCGATAATATTTGTGACCAAGCCTTTTTAGCTCACCTGAGTCGAAAGCTCATGTGAGCTTTTCTGATCACATTTTGTCCGGCGTCTGTCTATCTGTAAACTTTTCACATTTTCGACTTCTCAAGAACCACTGGACCAATTTCTACCAAACTTGCCACAAAGTATCCTTAGGTGAATGGGATTCAAATTTATTAAAATGAAGGGCCACATCCTATTCCAAGGGGAGATAATTAAAAATAAGTGAAAAATTTATGGCATCTTTCAAAAATATTCCAAGAACCACTGGGCCAGGAAAGATGAAACTTATATGGAAACATCTTCATGTAGAGTAGATTCAAGTTTCTTCAAATTATGACCCCCGGGGCTCGGGCGGTGCCACAATGGACGATGAAAGTTTTATATAGGAATATATAGGGAAAATCTTTAAAAATCTTCTTGAGAATAGCAAAGCCTTGATTGTTCATATTTATATAAAAGTATCCTCAGGTAGGGTACATTCAAGATTTTTCTAATCATCATCCCTGGGTTAGGGCATGGACGGTCAACGTTTTACATAGGTATAGAATAGAATAGAATATTTATTCAACCAATTTGGGCCCACAGTGGAGCATACAGAACAGTGTCCAAAATCATCACAGTTATACATACAACAAGAGGCCCAGGGGCCACATCGCTCACCTGAGCACATCGGTTAGGAAAAAGCACATCAGTTAGGAAAAAGCACATATCTAATCAGAACTGAAAGTTTACTGAGGTGGGGGGGGGGGGGGGGGGGCTTGAATTTTAATACTATTTGAGAATGTCTTCATATCAATACAGCATATGACTTTGCTGTTTTTGATAAAGATTTCTTTTTAAACATTTTGTTCCTATATATTACTTCGTAATAATTTGAATTTGATTCCCTATTGTTTCCCTCCCTACCCCAAAAGGGCCATGATTTGAACAAATTTAAATCTTCAATACATGAAGATGCTTTGGTGTAAATATGACTAAACATAGCTTTTCTGTTCTTGGGATTTCCTCCCTTTATTTTTCTATTTTAAACTTTGATCTACCATTGTTGCCCCACCCTACCTTTGGGGGGTTAT